CATATGAGTGGACAAATATGCTTTATGCTAATGTTTATTATCATTTGAACACATTTGTGTGTGTGTGTGTGTGTGTGTGTGTGTGTGTGTGTGTGTGTGTGTGTGTGTGTGTGTGTGTGTGAAATATTTCAATAATTGTTGGATGGGTGAATTTTTTTTTTTTTTTGCCTCTACAGACCATTTACATGCACAAATATATATACTTATATAACACACTACAGGAGAGGGAAAACCCCAAAAAGTATAACCGTGTCTCTTTTTACCATGCTGTTTATCTAATCTCTGCCTTTATTCCTCGTATTGCACTTACTGCACACATTACTGCTGAGTCTTTATTTATTCCCTGACTTCTTCTTCCCAGTTCTCTATTTGTCTGACTCAACATTGTAGGGTCTCTATTCCCTTCTCTCTTTCTCTGTGACTCTCTACCCACATGCAAACTGGTCCCACCATATGGAGACAGCTGATAGTTTTACCCACAATGCAGCTGTGAGAAAACAGCCTGTGGGAAAAGAAAACAGCAAGAGGAAGAAAAGTTCAACCTGGAGGGCAAGCGAAAGAGAGAGAGAAAAAAACATGCTTTGAACAGGTCTCTCTAGATTGTCGTGTTCTCAAAGAGCTAAGAACGTACTAAACCTCACATTTGAATACCTATAACTAAAGCCTAAACCCTTGAACTTCCTAGTTTCAAGCTTCAGAAATCACTTTAGAAATGATGGGTCATCATAGTCCCGTATTTAAAAAAAAAAAGGAGAAGTGAACCTATGGTTAAGTGCATTCTAAAATGACTGACGCCTTTTTTTCGCAGCCTCTATTTTAATGTCTCTGGTAAGCCTCCAGGTTTTTAGCTTCTTTCTCATGAGTGTGTGAATCAGGCCAGGCATTATGGGAAAGTGTGATGCAGCAGAGTTTTGTTCACTCTGATGTTGGACATGGCGGTTGGGCCAAGGCCTCTTAAAGTTCTCAGATTTTTAAAACCCACATCCTGCTGAAGTGTCTTTGAGGACAGAATCAAGACCGTCCTGACCTCTTCCCTCTTGGCAGTAAAAACGCCTAAATCCGCAGCCTAGCATTTCTGAGTATACATCACAAGTATGAATCCAGACACCCAATGTGGTTCATTTTGAACCTTAGTGCACCCAACCTTTCAGTTAGAGTGAACTAAAAAGTGAACTATTTTGCTGCCTAAATTCAAGATAATCAATAATCTTATAGATCAATTCAGCGGAAAGATAATAGATTGAAATATTGCTGGAGAAATTATTATAACAAGATAGATTTAATTTGCGCCTGGATCTCCACTTTGTGAAGTCCGGAGTGCTACATTACACAGAAACTATAATATGAAGTTGGTAAAAAAATATATAATTTTACTATTTTTATGAGCAATTCATTGTTACATTTTCATGGAAATTGGCAAAAATAATTACTTTTTTCAGTTTTATTTATATATTCACTTATTTGGCTGTTTTATCTTTCTTTTTCGACATTGTATACGGTATACCAAGAGATGAATCCAGAGATCCCCAGCAGATTAAATGATTATGCTCTTTTGGGTGGATAAGAAGCTTTGCCTATCAACAGCCATTGAAAAATATATATCACACATGATAAATACAAGTTAAAAAATAACTGTCTTCAATGTATTGTTATGAGATTTTTGCTATTTTTCCAAAAGCAATTATGTCGTAAGAAGAATTTGAATATTTCCCAACCATTGACGATCCACAGAAAAATGATCCATTATATTATCAGTTGTTAAAGTAGGTTGTTTATCCTATTCACTGTATTGCTTTGGCTTCTGGTATGTTAAACAAGACATCTCAAACATCACTTTGGACTTGGAGAAAATAGAATGGAAATTCTTTCACTTTTTTTCGGACACTTAATAAACCAAACAATTAATCGAGGAAACAATCTGCAGATCAATTGACATTGAAAACTCTCCTTAGCTGATGCATTAATTAAAAGTAAAAAAACGTGCCTATCAACAACCTGCAGGCCTTTGACTCTGCCGTGACTTCAACATGTTGGACAAAATATTACGTCAAGATACAGGTCAAAAACTGCAATACTGAAGAAACTTAAATAACCCCCTGAATCAAATCTGCTAAACTCTGCCAGCTAACCCCTGATCTGTTGTTCCTGTGTGTGTGTGTGTGTGTGTGTGTGTGTGTGTGTGTGTGTGTGTGTGTGTGTGTGTGTGTGTGTGTGTGTGTGTAACAGAGGGTGGTTTGTTTCTCAGTGTGTACTGTCCTGGCAGAGAGGCAGCAGAGGGTAAAAAAAGAAGACAATGGTGGAATTTAACAGCTGGCAAGGAAAGGAGGCGAGGGCGGGGGACACTCTTACTCTCTGCTTCTTTTTCTGTTTTCCTTAGATAAAAGTAATTTCCCCTCCCCTCTGTCTCCTATCTTTGCATTCTAGGTCTTTCTTTTATTTTCCTTCTCTATCCCTCCTCTACATTGTGACTCATTCCATCCCTCTTTTCCTGTATTTGTTTCTCTCCCTTTTTTCCCTCCCTTTCACTTGCATTTTCTTGGCAGCGAGTTAATAAGTTAGTTATTTTTACTTTCACCCTCTCTCTTGAGTCAAGCGGAAATGTTTGTGTGTTTGAGGTTGTGCTCCAAACTTTTCTTCTGCAGAAACAAGACATTCCTGATGTTTGATCTCTTTCCCGAGTCGTTGTTGTCCAGCTTCATACCAATATACTGTATATCTTCTAATCCATGAAATTAAAATGATTCCATCTGCACAGACTTGCATCACGAATGTGCTCACCACATGTGTTTGTCGTGGACGAGCAAGCATTCTTATATATAATACTAGTCCATTCATTAATAATTTAAAGGGGCCTTATTATGCTTTTGGGGTTCTCCCTTCCCTGTAGTGTGTTCTATAGGTGCATGTAAATGGTCTGCAAAGGCCAAAATCCTACGTAACACAAGCACTCAAACACATTGTATGTGATAGGCTAAGGGACGGGACATCTCTAAGCGGTTGACCAATCAGAGCAGACTGGGCTCTGGTTTCAGACAGAGGGTGAAAAGAGCTGCATGAGAACAATAAAGAGCTAGTTGAAAATTAGAGCATGGAGACATGTCCCAGGAGAGACACTACATACTGATATGAACCTGAAGATGAACAGAATAAGTCCTCTTTCAGATCAATGTTCTGTTAAGAAAAACTTGTTTCCCACAGTGACTGTCTTAAGCTCTCATTTTGCTGCAAAGCTTGAAGAGCGTTAGCTCAGTCAACCTGGACAGCAAGGATGTGATGTTAAACAAGATAATGTAACTTATGAAAAAAGATAAACCTCATTCCTTCTCTTACAGTCCAAATGAAAAGTATTTTAAAAGCAATTAAACTCATGCTTATTGATTTTAATCCATGATAGAGTTTGGTCACTTTGTTGCGGGTGTGACCATTAGCTTTTGGCGGCTAGAGTTAGCATTTCTTATCAGTTGTCTGACTTTATGACTCCTTTATTTGTGCTAATATATTTGATCATTTAGCATTATCCTTAAATGTCAGTTGGGAAAGTTCTGTAGCGTGTTGGGGCCTGGCTGCGGAGGTATACTCCTGTCCAGCAGCATGATCATTATACAAGTGCCACATTGAAATTGGGCTATCCACTGTGATAGTCCAGTTGATTCCAAAGGTGTTGGAGGGGGTTAATGTCATGGCTCAGGAACTTGTTCCTCTACTCTGGGTGGAGGTATTGGTCTTTTCCCCCAGGCATTAGGTTCAAATGTTCGCAGTAAATGCACCTAATTCATTTAACCCATCCTTACTTGACTGCACCTAACAGCCCTTTATCCTAACTACTTTTACTGTGGTGTAGTCTTTTTTAACAAATAGATGTTTATTTGTAACTCTTGTGATTAAGGGCCCATGTCCTCTTGTAGTTTGTGTTTGTGTCTTCTACTGCAAACCAAATGTCCCCTCCAGGGAAAACGGAGATTCACTTAAACTGGAGCTTGATTTGTGTACAGGAGGCTAAGTGTTTTGCATGTTCCTGATTTAAAAAAGTCAAAAAGTATTCCTAAAATGTTGAAAGCCCATTGTTTTGTCTTAAACATCATGTATACCAAGTGTTTCCTTCATCGAAGCAAAGGCACTAGCAATAAAAAGTCTGAAAACGGTTGCCTTGGATATATACTTTAGTAGGGTTCAACCCTTTTGAACAACATATATTAACGGGGATTCTTTGACTGACATTGCAATTGCCATATGATTCGTTTCATTTTTACATCGGTATTCTATTTTTCCTAGAAAAATATATTTAAATAATGGTGATTCTTTTTTTTGTTGCACAAATATGAATGTAAAAATAATGGTTTTATTAGTTTTGTATGAGACAAGGACGTCGCTGCAGCACTACAATATTGTGTACATATATTTTGACACATATTGCACCTTTAACAAATATTGCATCTTATTTGATCTGGATATTGTAAGCATATTGGGATTTCAATAGAATCACAATAACTTTGTCAGCCCTTGTCTTATGTGTGAGTTTGATATTGTTGCTAATGAGATGTGCTAACAAAACAGTTATGGCACTTTATGACCTTTCGCCCCATATATTGAGGTGGAGTCAAAACACTATGAAACCAACAACCTTCTTTTCTCTTTCTCTTGCCCCAATTTGTCTTTCCATGTAAACAAATCGCTCAAAAGCTTAGAGTGAAAGCTGGATAAATGTGAAACGTATGCATTCCTTTATTGTAAGATTTGATATTTCATGTTAAATGTATCCTGGGAAGATCCTGGAGTTGTTACAAATGCAAAGAAATGAATTCTCTTGAGGAACATTGTGGAGAGCAAGTTCTGTTTGGTTATTTAATGAAGCAAAAATCACAAAAAGCTGACATTATATTTTTGTGTTTTCCCAAAACGCTGCAACGGTTGATGCCTCCATGAATAAGATGTCAAAATACAAGATGAACTTGATTTATATTTACTGTCATTTCATCATCTGTCTCCTCTTGCTGATCCAGGTGGAACACTCCTTCAGCTACCTGGATATCCAGGGAATCAGCAGCAACAAGCCCACTCAGGTACACACGCAAGGAAACAAACAATAATGCAACGCTTATTGTGCATTACATTCATGTCATATAAACATTCCTTACAACATCTGAGCAGCAGCTTAAAAGTTACACACATAAACACACACAGATGCACTAACATCTTTCAACAGGTCTGTTTGAGAAAGGATATTAAACACTGATTTATTGGATACATTCTTTCAAAACAGATCAAATCAATAAGGATAATTTGTTTGACTACACTCACCTGCTCAGTGTAATTCATAGTAACCAAATAAAAATGAATGACATTTTCATTTTCTGGTATTGTATCTATTCAAATGGCTTTGTTAACCTTCAGACTTGAAATATTAATATTATTTAGTTAATATTTATATACGTGCCCAACTTATCTTTCAGGATGTTTGTCGTTACTATGCCATCATTTTTGGCAACAAACATTGAAATTGAAAGACTCAAGGAGGACTATTTTCTTTATAAGCTATGCTTTCATCTGACTCACTTACTACAACAGATTTGGTCAATTGACTTTATAAATGTGTTGATTTAAAAGCATGGGTGCTTTTTTAACACCTCAACATCATTTGGAGTCGTTACATGATGTAGCTTTGTGGTTGTCGCCCCCTGCAGCTGGTGTTGGAGTATGAGCGCGGACCGTGGAGCCTGCGGCTGAGCTCGGTGGAGGAGGTGGACGAGGTGATCGCTCACATCGGCTGCTGTCTGCATCGCATCCGCCCCGCCTGCTCACCTGTGTAGGTACCACCCTGAGGATCAGTGAGAAGGGAGAGACAGGGAGCCCTTCAGAAGATCGAACAGGAAGCAAACTGTTCAAACACTTCACATCTTTATTCAGAGATTAGGGGGATTCTGTCGAGTTGAAGATGAATGACTAAATGAATGTCTAATACCTATACTAATAGTTACTCATTAGGAATGACAACACTAGGGATTTATGTGAATCTATAATAAACGTTCGAGAAAGAAAGAAGTGTGAGGAGGACTACCGTAGTTTAAAAATAATCATACTTTAAAGGAATTTATAGAACAGTTTTAGTGAGAAACATGCGGCGCACTTAACACGTTTGAAAGACAATAGTATTTTGGCGGCAGTGTGGTAAATTATAATCAAATTGTAACTTTTGAAACTTTTGATTAAATAAGTTATGTGCTAGAAGTGAGTTAGTTAAAAATTGTAGCTTTGCTTGAACACAGAAGGTGGACGAAGATTATTTACCGTAATCGTGGCTGTAATTATTTACAAACCTTAAATACATTTCAATTTAAATAGAAAAAACAAATATGTTACTTTTACATAAGTCAGTGATTTTACAGATACATTCCTACTTCAGTAGACCAATAAATGAGTCCATCAACAAAACATTCATCTGAAACAATTTAAAAAAACAAATTAGCCATTATAATTGTTTTTTTATTTATGCAGACAATTGAGTAGTTCCTACCCCTCAAATGTGAAAATTGGCATATGAAAGTGTGTAGGGAGTGAGTTGTTTGTCATTTAAATGTCTTCTGGTTCCCTGCTTCTCTTCGCCCTTTGTCTTTGAAAGTTGTGGGACTCACATGACAATCATTTTAAATGTTCATCAAGTTTAGAAATGATTGATTGTCTTTTCCCTCCCCCTCCTCCTGCCTCTCTGTAAGGAAGCAAGGTGATGAAGAAGCTGAGTCTGAAGCCTCCTGAGAGGACGGCGTCTCTCCAGGCCCTCTGGGAAGAGCAGAGCTCTGCAGACCTGGGGCCCTGCGGTACATCTGCCTGAAAATGTCCAAAACATATCCAGACCAATACAAGTGTATCTACGTGTGACAATTTGTATTTCCTCATGTTACAGGCGGTTTTTCTCATCAGTACTGGTGTGTGTGTGATTACCTGGGTCTGCCGTACAGAGAGGAGGTCCAATGGGTCAGTGACTGAGAGTCAATCTGCTTCTGTCTCACATTTCTGCTGTTGTCTTCATTAACTCTATTTCCTTCTTTGTCTCCTGAATGTATTCTGGTTTGACTTCTGCTTAATATAAGTGTCATTGCGTGGGCTGTTGCTTCCTCTATTACTATATTGTCTATTGTCCTCCTGTATCCTTTAGCTTCATGTTCTTTTTCTACTTTCCCGTGTGACAGTACCTCAACACACCATAGTAAAGCTATTCCCCCCCCCCCCCCAGGATGTGGACACCATCTATCTCACTCAGGACACCAAGGAGCTCAACCTGCAGGACTTCATTCACCTTGAGAACAGGTTTGTACACTGCTCAGCGCATGTGTGAGAGATGTGTGTGAATATGCATCCAAATTCAAACAGTTTACCAAAGTTAAGTTACACTGATGAGAAAAACGTTGACACTCCAGGCTTTAGAATATGTGCGATTTTTACCAAAACCGTAACAATATATTCTATTGAATGTTCAACTGTGAACATTTTGTTTGGGGTTCTGGATGGAAGGGTCCCCAGATATGTAATGCAGGTATTCTGTTGGGTGAAATACTTATTGAGAGCTCAATCAAATCAGAATGTAATTTTTCTTTCGACACAAACCATTAAAAGGAGGCACAACATGAAATGGGACAAATTAGCTCGAACAAAGAGTGGGTATATATGGAACAATAAATAAGGTCTGTGTGTTTTCGGTTCTTTAGTGGACAGGACTGTTGACTAGGTTATTTGATTAACTTATTAACTGTTTTGTCTTGTTATTTATTCATTTTATTTAATTGTGTTTTTGTACATGAGCTCTAATCACATCATCAATGTACTCCTATTATCTCTATTCACTCACACAATTAGAAATATCACTATTATCATAACAGCTGCAGTACATATTTAAGTTATTTCTTGTAATTTTTCCCTGCAGGGATCTGGTGGCGATCATCGCAGCTCTGGAGTACAACCAGTGGTTCACTAAAGTCTCCGCCAAAGACTACAAACTGGTAACATTCATACAATCAACTGCATGCATGTCTGTCTGATTCCTATGTCAAATAATCAAATGAAATAGAAAGAAACCAAAGTGTGTGTGTGTGTGTGTGTGTGTGTGTGTGTGTGTGTGTGTGTGTGTGTGTGTGTGTGTGTGTGTCTTTCTCTGCTTCTCTGCCCTCCAGTCGACAGATATATGTGAGCAGATCTTGAGGGTGGTGGCTCGGTCCAGCCGGCTGGAAGAGCTGGTGCTGGACAACACTGGACTCAGAAGGTCAGAGGTCAAATAATAGAAGCTTTGTCCTGGTCATGGTTTGTGCTTAGACTTAGTCAACTTATCAGTACATAAAAACTCTAAATTGTTCTTCTGTAAAGTTAAAGTAAATAAGCAGACTGTGCCCAGGACTAAAGTCCATTCTGGATATCAAATGTATGTTTGCTAGTTTGTTGATTGTGCCTGATGTAAGGTAAGAGGTTATCAAATCTCACACCATTCATTCTTGCCAAACCGGAGCACTCATTGTGTCATTCTGTTCCTTCTCTTTCTCCTCTTCAGTGATTTTGCTCAGAAACTGGCCAGCGCTCTGTCCCACAACCCCGCCTCCATGCTGCAGACACTCAACCTGAGCAACAACTCCCTGGAGGACAAAGGTTCAAACGTGTGCACACACACACACACATCCTGCACGCTGGATTAATTTTATTATTGACATGCTTACAGTATATAGGTCACATACTGTATGTGTCCTTGTTTTAAAATAAATACGGAGGAGATATATTTATCTAGATATGGCACATTAGATTTGTCTATTTTTAATTGTTTCCAACATATTTGCTATAAAGGTACCTTGCTTTTGCTTTGCTTTTTTGAAACGTTCAGTCTTTCAAAGGGCTCCCAGGTGTTGTGATGCGCCCCCTGGTGGCTATATTGAATGCTCTACTGACAGAATGTGTTACTATCTGCAGGTGTTTCTGCTCTCAGTGCTCAAATTGCCAAACTGCCCATGGGCCTGAAGCACCTGAACCTCTCCAGGACCTCCTTGTCTCATAAAGGTGAGCAGGAGAAACAAACATGAAGTCATATTTGATTATTGTCCTGAATTAAAGTTTCAGGAGACTATATTTATCATTTCCTGCAGGTGTGAGCAGCCTCTGTCAGGCTCTCTGTGCCAACCCTGCAGTGTCCGCCGCCCTCACACACCTGGACCTGTCTGGGAACTCGCTCAGAGGAGACGACCTGCAGGTACAGAGATACCTCCTCTGCTTCTATCACGCTAACCTTTAAGATGATTTCTGCAACCCCACAGTTTGCTTTACTTTATTAAAAAAAAATGTTGGACTTAATTGGAGATGGACAAGCTCCAAAGGAAGACAGTTTTTTAGGACATCTGATGTTTTTAAATGACAGCATTGATCTGTTAAGATGTCTTGTGTATTTATTTTCTGCACAGAACCTGCACAGCTTCCTGAATAACCCAAACTGCCTGGAGACTCTGGATCTGTCTAACAGTGACTGCCCTCTGGATCAGGTATAATCAGGCCATACATAAACTAACGTTTTTATCATTTATTAATTGTATTCACAAGTTTAAAAAAGTGCAATCATTAGACATCAAGGAGATATGAAATTGGACACCCTGATAAGCTATACGAAGCTTGGAAATAGTGGCCCAGACACTAAAGATAGTGTTTTTACAAATGTTTTTCTTTATTATCAATACATCTAGAATTGTTCTCATCTGGGATTGAGTTCATATAATAAACAGAAACATTTCAAGCTAACACTTACTAAATTCACTTTGAACTAAACTGGTCCCAATACATTTCTTTAATCAGTCTAAGCATTGGTTTAAAATAGGTAAGATATAATAAGCAGAAATACATTAAAAGGGAAATGGTATAGATATACAGTATGCACTTCCAAGTAAGGTAAACGTGTGTAGAAGTTCCCAGCCAATCAGTATACAGTATACTAACACTGTACACTATCTAACATTTACACTTTATACTTTCAAGACTCTGTTAGGCCGGAGTTAAGATGAAGATTTCATTAATTAATTAAAGAGTTAATAATATAACTTAATGATCACGATAACGCATTATTTGAATGCAGGTTATTTTTGTCTGCACTGCTAGGCTTGTTTGGAATAAAAAATGTTTTCACTTTGTGCTCAAGTTTAGTTTTGTGTTTCTAGGTGTGTGCGTCTCTGCTCGGAGGCTGCCTGAAGCATCTCTCTGTGCTCAACATGTCAAAGTCAGTCTTCTCTCACAGGTCAGATATTAAACTCACCCTTCTATCAGCACACAATTCTATTTCTATCAAATTCAGACCACATTATACACTTTGACTTCGGACCGGATTGGCAGATTGCTCCAACATAACACTGTTCAACAAATACTACATTAGTTTAAATGCACATGTGCCTGTTTGAGATTTACATTACTTGTATTTTGCTCTGATTGTTTGACTGCTCTGTACAGTGTTGTTTTAACTCGTCTGTCCTCCCATCCACACAGGAAGATTAAAGAGATCCCTTCGTCCTTCAAGCAGTTCTTCAGCAGCGCTCTGGCTCTGACCTCAGTCAGTCTGTCAGGAACCAGGCTGCCTCTGGAGGCTCTGAAGTAAGAAAATACCCCTGAAACCTGAAGACCCACAGCAATACATGTTTTCATTTTGTGCAGTCCAAAATTAAATCAGTTACGGCCCGTCCACACGGCGGCGTGCCCATTCACTTTGAATGGGGTGACGTCACGCTTTGCCTAACTGCATTGTGGTTCCGCCGCTTCGCTTTGCTCACGTTGCTTGCTTCAAAAGTTGAGCAATGTTCAATTTTTGAAGCTTCCACGGAATCGTCAGCCAATCAAATCATATGCCAGTACAAGCTCTATCCAATTAAACCGCGTGCTTGTGTGTCCGGGGCGGGAGATTCATGTGATTGGCTGTTGATCGAGTTTCAGACACGCCCACTGGCAAGCTTCAACGCACGCCGCCGTGTGGACGCTGCGTCAGAGTTATGGGTAGCTACAAAGTTGTCCGTGTAGTGAGAAGAGAAAATGTGCAATGACAGGAACAACTATTTTCTTTTAGTAATCCAAAATATAACATATTAAGATTAAGCAATGATACCACTTTCTGAAAGCTACTGTTAACTGAAGTCTTGGGTTTTTGTCCGCAGAGCGTTGTTATTGGGGCTCGGCTGCAACCCAAACCTTAGCGACGTGTCTCTGGATCTCAGCTGCTGTGAGGTAAAACTAACCCTAAACACACTGTTTAAAAATTCGCAATCATAAAAGACACTCACAGATCCTAAAAAAAAGAGGACATACTATATATTTTTTTGTAGGTTTATATTTGTTTTTGTGCCATGTTCAAAAAGCTCTTTATTTTTCTCATGCTGCCTGTGCTGCAGCACGGTCTCTACTTTAAAGAGTCCTCTCCTGCTGATGTTCAGGTGTATATCAGTATGTAGTGTCTCTTTTCACCCTCTGTCTGAAACCAGAGCCCAGTCTGCTCTGATTGGTTAGCTGGCCGGCTCTGTTGTGATTGGTCAACCACTTAGAGCTGCCCTTAGCCTACAATGTGTTGGAGCACTAGCCAATAGAATCGCAAATGTTACATAGCGTTTCAGGCAAGGGGGGAGTGGTGTGGGAGGAAAGGGGAAACCCCAAAAAGCAGAATAGGGCCTCTTCATCTAGTTTTTGAGTTTATTTAAATTGTACACTCTTTTCCTCTCAGCTGCGTTCAGGAGGCTCCCAGATCCTGGAGGGCTGTGTGGCAGAGATTCCCAACATCTCCAGTCTGGATATTTCTGACAACGGTGAGGACATTTTATGTTTGAAACAGTTATGATGCCGCTGTATTTACTTTGATGGCAGCAGTTGATGTTTCTGTGCTCCTCCTCAGGGCTGGACATGGACCTGATCACTCTGCTGGTCTGGCTGGCCAAGAACCGCTCCATCAGACACCTGTCACTGGGCAAGAACTTCAACAACATCAAGTCCAAGTGGGTGACTAACTGACAAAAAAGCATTATTCCAGCTTCCTGAAAATGACATTACTTCTGGATTGTTACATTTATCAAAGTACTTTATAATAATGAAGGTGACTAAGAATGCACTTACAGTATGTGGTCCCATATATATTTAAATTGTTATTACACATTGGTTTGTCATTTAATCGCATTTTCATTTTCAACATTTTCTGCAGAAATGTGTCTCAGGTCCTGGACAACCTGGTTCACATGATTCAAGAGGAAGATTCAGTACGTGAAACATTTTACCATCAATTGAACATTAAGTTTTTTGTTGTGATTCATACCAGTTCTCTTGCTGTTATTACCATTAAGAATTTCCCTGTTGATGAAAAATGAACTATATGTATACAGTATATAGTTTATAATATAATATTGAATATCAATGTGTTTCCCCTGCAGCCGCTGATCTCTCTGTCCCTGGCTGACTCCCGGCTGAAGACAGACCTCTCCATCGTCCTCAACGCTCTGGGCAGCAACACCTCTCTGACCAAACTGGACATCAGCGGGAACGCCATGGGAGACATGGGGGCCAAGATGCTGGCCAAAGCCCTGCAGATCAACACCAAGCTCAGGTGAGCAAGGAAGCCGCATTATCCTGGAAAAGCTATATTCATTGTGGGAGCTGCTACATCTGTGTGAATTTGGGCCTCCTTATGGTCGGTAGAAAAGCCCATGTGCAGGGGGCTAAGTCCCCGCTGTCAAGTATGCAGGTTCGACTCCCACCTGCGGAAAGTTTGGGGATGCGGGAACGGTTAATCTGATGGAAAGGTAACTGATAGAAATCTGGTAAAACGTCTGCAAGATAATCTCTGTTCAGATCAGCCACAAAAAAGGATAGCACTTTCACTTGTTTTATTCAAATGTGTGTTTATGTTTGATCCTCTTGGGTTGTGTGTGTGCAGGACGATAGTGTGGGACAGGAACAACATCAGTCCTCAGGGTCTACAGGACGTCGCTGCTGCTCTGGAGAAGTAAGTATGAAGCAGTCACTGAAGGTAAAATTCCTTTGCATGCTATCGGTCCTGCTCTGATTTTGTACTAGTATTAAGTCATGTTAAGTTACTATTTTCTCCCCCCTCAGGAACTACACCATTCGCTTTATGCCTATTCCCATCATGGATGCTGCTCAGGCACTGAAGGCTAGCCCAGAGAAGACGGAGGACGCCTTACTGAAGGTCATTGCCCTGTTTATTTTTATTATTTTGTAAAGAGTAATCTATACGATAAGTTAGATATAAGAGTATAAAAGGGGACATATTATTCTCAGCCATAGGGGCAGAACCTCTGATGGGGTATGGTATATTCTGATACTTCAAGTAACAAAACTAAAAGTACGAGCTGCAGATTGGCTGATTTCACAATATTATATATTTGTATTATTATGTTTTTATCACCAACAATTACATGTCATATAGTTTTAATGTTTGTTAAAGTTGAACCAATTTGAGTTACTTTTTCAAATACCGGGTAGATTATTGGTAAAGTACGGAATCATATCATCATCACATGTGTTTTTAAATTTACAAATGCCCTCTTAACTACTGTATGAGTGTTAAATACATGTAGTGGAGTAAAAAGTAGATCAAATGTTGTGAAGTAGAAGTAAATGTAAAAATAAATGGAATTACTGAAGTAAAGTACAAATATGTCAAAATAGTAGTTAAGTACAGTGCTTGAATAAATGTACTGTAATGTTACAGTCCACCATTGCCAATGGAGGGGAGCCAAATATAAAGTTGTATATAAAGTTAGTTGATTCCCATGTTTTTGTTTTTATTTCACATTTTATAGGTTCTTAGGCATTTCAAATACCCAGATGTTTGAGCACAAGCACTATAATATAATATTTTCCCTTTAAAATATTATCTGTAATCACATTTCATTTTGACAGTTGAATAGTTGTGTTTTGTGGTGCAGATGGAGCAGTACCTGCTGAGGAACCATGAGACGCGTAAATACCTCCTGGAGCAGGCGTACAGGCTGCAGCAGGGGATAGTCACCACCACCACACAACAGGCAGGCTCTCCAACACACACACACACACACACACACACACACACACACACACACACACACACACACACACACACACACACACACACACACACACACACACACACACACACACCATGTATACATCACTTCAGGGGACATTACATTGACTTACATGCATTTCCTGGAGACTTATCCTAACCTTAACCATAACCAACACATGCCTAACCCTTAACCTTACCCTAAACTTGACCAAGTCTTCACCCTAAAATTAATGATTCCCCTCATGGGGACCTCCATGTTGTCCCCATAAGGGAGGCAAGTCCCCACACGTGACTGTGTAAACAGATTTAAGTCCCCACAAGTATAGTAATGCTAGGCCACACACACACACACACACACACACACACACACACACACACACACACACACACACACACACACACACACACACACACACACACACACACACACACAAATCCCATTCAATGAGTTAACATATCAGGGTTTGTATTCTGACCTCTGGTATCTGTGCTGCAGATGATGGACATGATGTGTGTGAAGGTGCAGGACCACCTGAACTCTCTGAGGTTCACAGAGACCAACTCGGTCCAGGAGGACATGAAGGCGGCAGAGAACTTCATGAAAGACGCCAGGAACTCCAAGACAGTAAGAAGACATGATTTGTGGAAATAATCCTAAATATAACGCTTCAATCCTCCAACTCCCATAGCTGACTGAATATTTAGAGACAGTAAAAAATCACCTTCTACCTGTTAGACCAGGGGTTCCCAACCTTTATTGTGCCAAGGACCGGCAGCTACCGCGCACCGGTTGTCAATTTTAACTGATTTGAATATTTACTCACCAGCAGGTGGCAACAGAGGCTAATTGAATTTAACAGCCTGAAATAAACCGATATGCATCCAAAACATATTAACAATGTTTAAAACCAGGGTACAATTAAAACAAAAATTAGGACCGCTTTACAAATATTAATATAATATATAATATAGCCCAATATATATAGGTGGCAACAGTGGCTAATTGTATGTAACAGCCTGAACAAATAATAGAACAATATGCATCCAAAACATATTAACAAAGTTTAAAACCAGGATACAATTAAAACAAATTAGGACCACTGTACACATATTGATATAAGTGAAATGTCAGTGAGACCCCTGGGCTTGTTTGCCAGCCATAATAACTAGGGCTGTCAAGTTAACGCGTTAATGACGCGTTAACGCAAAAAATAACGCCACTAATTATTTTAACGCGCATTAACGCATACAGCACTAGCTGTCGATCACTTTATTTGCTAAACTATGCGGTACTATTAAATCCACATATATTACACATCACAGCAATGAGGCCAGATAAATTAAACCAGGATACATCCTTTACCGTCAAACTGGATCCAAACACAGCTGCCTGTGTGCGTTTGATAAATACTTTCTGATTTTACATTTATTATAGGCTATGCTACTCATCAGCTACATGGCCCTAACGTGTAAAGTTATACAAGCATTTGTACCAGTGCTTTTCACAAGTAGACTCTTGCAGGCCAGAGTAGCTGGAGTGAGTCATCAACAACAACACAAAGACATATCTGAGAAGTGATCAGGACGAACAGGAAGAGGAAAAGGAAAAGAGAGTACACTGAAGAGATCAGGAGGGTCAGAGCAGGAGGAAGCCAGGAGGAGATGAAGACATTAGTGAAGAAGAAGAAATGTATATGAGGAATAAAGATGAAGTGTCAGAAAGAGGGACAGAGGCAGGGATGAGGAGGCAGATGAAACTCCAGCTGGACCACATGGTATGTTTTTATTCTCCTTGTATACATATTCCATCACAGCAGCAAAATCTAGCGGCTCTTAGTATTGACAAATATGTATTGAAAATGTGTTGCTGCGCAGGTCACCTTTAGCCCTCTTAAAAGATGGGTGATGTCATTTGTGTACTTAATTATAACTAAGTACTTTTACTGTACTTACAGTAAACAGAATTCTAGGGTATCATGAGTATTTTCTGCTGTTTTATACTATATTTTAGTTTGTTTGTCTGAACACCTTGTGTCTCTTGTGCATAAAGAACACTTGTGTTAGGGCATGATTTAACAATAAATAGGTTACACAGTATAAAATACCACGTACGGTCCGCCCTCCCATACCACCCTGGCATGAACTCTTGCCCCCCCTTTGCCACCCCATGTAAAAGGATCTAGAACCGCCACTGCTAGTGATAAGGCATGGGACTATATGAACATTTTAACTCACGATTATCCTGGCCAAAATAATCGTGATTCACGGTATTATCCCAATTATAATAAAGAATACGCTTAAAAATCTAAAAATGGCACGCAAACTAAAATCTACATTGCATTTTGTTACACGACAAGTTTTGCCATCACAGATAGGGGCACAGGTTTTAAGTAAAATGACAAACAAACAACATTAAATAAGGTAAATACACATCATAAGGTGCCCCTGCATAAATGAAAGGTTAGATAAAATGTAATAAGAAATGTGTGTGTCAGATCTTTCTCACATGATCAATCCTTTATGTATTGTTCACTTATATACAATGATCATTGGCTACACAGCTTTTCAATTAACACATTTTGGATTATCCCAATAATGGAAATCATTATTTCGTTTTTTTATATATTGTAATCAGCAATATAAAATTCCTATTTCATGAATTCTCTTTGAGCTACCAGCCAAATAAATACATCTAAAGCCGTAACTTTATTACTTTCCTCCTGTTTAAAATATTTCAACCTGTTTATAACACCTGCAGTGAATAATAAAAGTAATTTGGCATTGCACTCTTGTGATTTTTTTTATCTCTCAGTTTTAAAAATATATAAATTGATAAAATATTCAAAAATGCAAATTGACTTCATAAGAAAATCAAAGATTAGTCCAAAAAAATACTTTTTACAACGTCTGAATGACCTCATCTCTCCTCCCTGCAGCTGCTCCCTAACCTGTACCACCTGAGGAGTGGGGGGTCCAGTGGAGTGTGTGTTGGAGCCATTCAGGACAAACTGGAGTCCATGGCAGGAGAGGTTTCCCGGGTGATGGACGAACAGCTGCAGGTACTGAGCTGCTGTTATTACCGTAACAGTATCTGTGACAAGATTGTGTAATGTAATCTTACATTTATGACTTTCTAAAATCAAGCCGGAATACAATGTATCGTTTAAACTGTCCTATCTCGTCCTCCCCAGACGATGCTGGTGTCCATGGTGGACACTGCAGAGGGTCTGTGTCCTCATGTGATGAAGAGGAGCAGCCTTCGCCAGGAGCTCCTGAAGGCCGGATCAGGGAAGATGACGGTTCCCCGCAGCTTCATCAGCACCACGCTGCTGGAGCAGTCCGGGGTCGACATCATCAACAAGATAAGGTCTGGTCTGCTGCATGTGTGTTGGCCAAGATCCTAGAGTCATTTTGCGATCAGTAGAGAATCCACTACTGTTACTTCGAGGAGAACATGTCTAGTATTGAGTTACTGCTGCTGATGTGGAATTTCAAGGTGGTAAATTCATTTTTTTTTTCATACATCTGTCATGTGCCTCCATGACAAACTGGTTTTCTTTCACGACCCTGTGCTGATAACTGAAATTACAGAAGTCTAAGTTTAAATATATGTTTTATTTTCTGATATTTTTAGCACCTTAAGCCTTTATTTTAAAGGTCCCATGTCATGCTTTTCCGGTTATTACCCGTCCCCTTGTGTGTTATGAAGGTTTTTCTGCATGTAAACGGTCTGCAGAGTCACAAACCCTCAAAGTACACCCTGTAGCGAGTAAAACTCTAACACAGACCTCCCCAAAACGCCTCGTTGTGAGGCTGAGAGTGTTTGTGTGTGCTCAGGATGAGTTTCGCTTGTTCTAGCTGTATTTGTTTCGCCAACACGGAAGCCATGTCTGCTCCTCACAGCAGCTCCTCACGAGCAGCTGCACGTAAGGCTCACAGCCTCACGAGCAGCTGCACGTCGCTTGACCAATCAGAGCACACTGGGCTCACAGGGAGGGGGGTGGGCAAGCTCCAACACGATGTTTTGGACAGAGTGTGAATACACATACTATACAGAGATGCTGTATGAGAAACCAATGTGAGTTTGGAAAATTGCACAGTATAAATCCATGGAAATACAAGTAAGTGGAGTATAAATCCATAATTCCATATTCTATGGAATTATGATCAGTAGAAATGGCCATGACATGGGACCTTTTAAATATGAATAATGAAGAGAGTCGATTTCTGTTTTTTTTGTTTTGTTTGTACTTTCTAATTCCTGTTATTTTGAAGTAGTTCATACCCTTTCTTCTGCTACAAAAGTAAACATTTAACCAAAATGTAACAAGAACCAAACTTGCAAGTACCATGCAGGATCTGCAAATCTATGTGGCCACTATTTGCACTTTATTTTTCCAAATGGCTTTTGCTAAACAGCTCTTGTTAATTGATCTGCCTAAAGGCCTTCAGTCAACATCCAACACTTAAAAAAATAAACTAGCACTTGTCTCAGACAGCCAAGTGGTAGCGAAATATTTGGTGAGTTGGTCAAACGGAGAATAAACAAAATAGTATTCTCCTTTTTTGTTTTATTCATGTATGTTGTTTTTATCTTTATGAAACAGTGAATTGAAGTTGAGCATGGCGTCTTTTCTGTCTGATCGTATCGTGGATGAGATCCTGGATTCTCTGTCCAGATCACAGCACACTCTGGTGAGTTCCCTCTTTGCATGTCAGTCTGTCTTTCTTTTTGTGTTTTTTCATGTCCTTTCATCCCTATCCTACTTTCTCCTTCTGTCTCCAGGGTAACCATCTGATCAGGAAGAGTCAGCCACTGCTGCATCACGATCCCCCGCTGGAGGCAGAGGTTCTGGATGAGGTGGTTCTGCAGCCAGCCAATCACAACCAGGATCAGAAATTAAAACATGAGCGGGATCACAAACACAGGCTGGAAGACATGGACACATGCATTGTAAGAAAACACAAAACAACAAAAACTATTTTTACTGCATATCAGTCCGTAAACAATGGTTTATGAGTAGTCTGTATATGTTCTACATGTGGTTGTTTAAAAATACATCGTCTCAGCAGATTTGCAGTTTTGAACGCACATTGTGGATAAAATAAACCATCATTTTTACTTCTAAACAAATTTATTTAAAACCCGTTTTTCAGATGACTCCTAAATCCAAGAGGAAGAGTATTCTGGTCAGGATGCTGCGCCCCGTCTCTGTGGCATTTGGTGAGAGAAAATCGTAATGTGTTACACATTTTCTGCTTTTTTTTGTTTTAGATAGCAACATCCATTTCCCTTACTTATATTTTAAGAATACTGTTCCTGCCCTGAGCATTTCCTGTTCAAATCTTAAAGAATTGTTACTTTTAAATTGAAGTTTCCTCACCCTCTGCCGTTCACACTCATTCCAAAGTAAATGGCTGTGGATATTTGTATATCAAATCCAATTTTGTTTTTGTCTAGCTCTGTTAACCAAGTGACCAATTAGATTAAGTTAAAACCATGAAAAAAATTATTTTTGTGGTGATTTTATTTATAAAGCCAGTTTAATTCTGGTGGAATTGGGTGCTGGGTTTATAATGTTTCCAGTCAGGATGCTTTCGTTTGTTCTCTTTCAAAGGTTTACAAGATCTTGGCATGGTCATTTCTCCTTCTTTAAAAAAAAAATACAACCGTTTTTTAGCTTTTTTCAGCAGTTTGGAGATATGTCAAGACCATGTCAGGTTTTTAGGGTGTTGATACCCTGGAACTTGAAACTGTTCACAAGCTCTACCAAAGCTCAGGGTCGTCATCTCCTTTTTCTTGAATCAACATTCAATTCCATGTTTTTACTGATAACGAGCAGGAGGTTGTTCTCTGAGCACGACTGGGAAATACTGTTGATTTCCTCTCTATATAAATGTACATCGTTGCTTGTAGTTTGGCAGATCATGTTACGGTCATCCATAAATCTTACAACAGAGTTCTCTTCATGAGCAACTAGAACAAGAAGGGACTAAGCACAAAACCCTGGGGTGCTCCAGTGTTGGATACTAGAGTGAAAGAGGTGCAAAATGATCTGACTCAGTTCCAAAATGAGTGTAATTCTCTCAAGTCAAGTTTGTAGTTTTGATTTAGTTTGGCTTAATTCAATCAACAGGCTGCAAACATCATTATTAACTGTTTATTTCCCCACATGGCTATGCCTTCTGTCGGACCAACAGAGATGGAATTTGACCTGGACAAAGCTCTGGAGGAAGTTCCTATCCATGTCGAGGACCCCCCTCCACCTCCTCCTCCTTCACAGCCAATGGACAGAGCGTCGTCCTACTATGGAGACCTCCCCCCTCCCCCTACTCCACTGGATACAAAGTCTGTCTGTCTAAGCGAGCTGCCAGCGGTGGAGCACAAGATGCTGGAGAGTCACACCAAACAACGGCCAAAACCCAAGAAGAGGACCAAACCCAGCCGACCAACTGTAGGTGTCCCTCAGGGAGTGATTGTTTTTTTTGTTTTGTTGTCAACTGTTCAGTAAGAGCACAAGAATATATTTGTCATTTATTTATTCACATTCACCATTCAATCTAAATCTATACAAAATGTATTTAGATGACTTTGCTAGCAAAAACAGTTGTTAATGAAACAAATAGACCCTGAAATGTTTGAATTTATTGTAAACCTGTGTTTGATCATAAGGTTGCATTGCAGTGCTTTTCATTTTGGGCCTATTAACACTTAGCGATGTGTGTTTCTTGGAAAAAAGTCCTTTACCATGAAAAAAAAGCATTAAGACATTACTAATCTTCTAAAGCAATCAAAGTCAATTAACTTCCTGATTAGTTGACATAACAGGGGGAATACTGAATCAAAACACATATTTAGGTCATTCCCTAACACCAGAATCTATACTGTGGTCTTTGAGCCAAAACCTTTTTTTTTTAAAAGATGTTGACAGGAACTCAGGAATTATGTTGTCAATGTCTTTAATTCCCGACAAGATTATATGCTGCCAGCCTTAAATGTAATTGATTCTCTTCTCTCCATTAAGCGGAAATCCACCAACAGCTCCGCGGCACAAGATGCAGAGCTAAACAGCATTATGGGAAAACTGGATGAGGGCCTGGATGACTTCTTCACCAAGAAAGTCATTAAACTCAGCTTCAAGTGAGAATCAAGATACAAAAATTGTTACAGAGTTTGACATGAACACAACAACGAAAAACCACAGCATTTCCTCATAGTCTTCTCAGTTTTCATCAACACATTTTTGATGATCTTTGTGTAAAAGACAATGCATATTGTACAAAAGCAGAGTATGATTGTGTGTCATCAGTATAAAATAAGTGAACAGATTATGATTTGGTTAGTCAGATCTTTTAAAATATTTTTATTTTCTATCCTGTAGACTTCCCACTGTAAGAGGCCTGTCCTCAAGCCCGCAGGAATCAGCAGATAAGAAACGTGAGTCCAGGAAAAGCGGTTTCTTTAACCTCATCAAATCCCGGACATCCCGCTCGGAGAAGAGCACTGGAGCTGCCTCCATCACTCCCTCCCACCCTGCTTCCACAACTACTGTCTCAACCTCTCACTCTATTACCCCAGTGCATGAGGAAACAACACCAACATCATCCACTCCTCACACAAAAATCCCTGCCACTGCGGTGGACTCCCATCAGGAGCTCCACAGGGAACCATCCTTGGAACACACAGATTCTGAGAGGGAGGTTTCTCCGACGGACACTGAACCTAATGAGGCGTTGAAGACGGAGGAGGATGTGGAGAAGGAAAATGTTGAGGATAACGAGAACCTGGAGAAGAAGGAGAACCCCCAAATTCCCCGCAATATTGGAGTCCCTGTGATGGGCATGGGCCTGATGGCTGAGATGAAGGCAAGGCAGGAGAGAATGGCTGTAAAAAAGGTAGGTGAAACTCAGCCTTCAACATTTATAATAGTATTTATTAACCATCTTCAAGCCAAATATTGGTACCAGGAGTCTAGGTGCTACTTTTCTGACATTCAGTATCGATGGCAAAGCTAAAAATTAGCATCAACTAACCAAAACCGCTAATTGTAACAGCTAGTGTGATCTCTTAATGCTATATACTATTGGTAGGAAATCACAGGAAAATAAACTTTAAATAAAGATTTAGATCTTTTTATAGAATTATTATAGAACAGTAGGGGATAAAGTGCTAATTAAGTTAACTGGAGTCAGAAAAATACATTAAGCATCACTGCCTTTATTATAATAAATTATCATTAGGCTATACATTATTATTATTGTTGTTATTATTATTTTTATTATTTAAAATACATTTTTTCATCATTTATTTTAATTTTATTATTATAATTAATAATACATGTATACAATTATGCAATATTTATTGTCCATTTTTTTCTACTGATTGGAGGAATATTTTCTTTAGACAAATTAAATGAACATTTTTAGAGGGAGGCTGAAATCAAATTACCACCGACTGCTTCTCTTTCATTGTTGTGACGATTACAATATATAACTTTAAACATGAATAAAGCTCTCGTCTTTCGGTTTTTAGTCTGAGTCGTCATCTTTGCTGGACAAGGTGGAAGAAGACAAAGGTGAGTTTCTTACATTTTGGATTTGGATCTTCAGTACGTTGGATTTTCAAGCCAAACTTAGAAGGTTAAATATTTCAGTTTCATGACCTATATATCTTGATAGTTGAATAGCTTTAAGTGAATGTCCTTAATAATTTGTTCATATATTACATCCCACAGTATCTACAAACTGTCTCTGTCATTATTTCTATAGCCAAATCAGACGTCCATCCCACTGTGCCAGCAGACGATGAAGAGTCCAGACCAGAGCCGGCTCCAAGGTCAAAACCACCCAGCGTCACCCCCAAACCCCCTCCTCAGGCTGCCAAACCCCCTCTAGGGTCCCGCATCTCTGGGCCCCTCAGTCCTATCAGTCCAACCAGTCCCAGGCCGAGCAGCACCTTCATCCTCGGTAGGCAACATTCTAAACACTAGCTTTAAGATGTTTCTAATCAACTGTGGGACATCAGGCGATATGAGAAGCTGTGATTCTTTCCATATATCTTGATATCACCACAATCAGTATTTACATTCCTTTTTTATGTGTTTTAGTAGTGAAAATAAATAAATAGTTGAATTGATCTCTGTTTGTCAGATGACTCTGCTGAGGCTTCATCAGGAACCTCGGCAGCCAAAGGTCCACTTCCTGCTCCTCGCCTGAAGAGGGCGCCGTCAGAGCAGGAGAGAGAGAGCACCAGCAGCAGCTCAGCAGGACCCCTGTCCCCTCTGGAAGGTGGGTTTCTCCTTATAGAGAGGCGAAGTCCCTCCCCTTACGGTGGGACTCATGGGACCTTATTTCGGAAAAAGTTTGTATTGAAGTCAATGGAGAGAGAAAGATTATCTTTCGATCCCGTTTGAATTGTGCCACGAATTACACATATGATGTTTGTCATTTTTAAATAATAATTTCCATGTCAAAAAAGTCACAGTTTGTCGTAAAACTGTTGAAATATAAGACAAGACAAGATTATCTTTTAAATTGACAAACATCATATGTGTAATTCGTGGCACAATTCAAACGGGATCTTTTACAGGTCACCTATTATGCAAAATGTCTGTTATACATAAATATGTATCCCCGGTGTGTTAGGAGACTCACAAAGTGTCAGAAAATACAACCCTTTCTCTTTTCCTCCTTACCCACATCTCTAAACACTGGTGTACAACGGAGGTTACATATAAAGGGCCAGACCCAGAATCAGCACTTTACTAACAGGACTGAAATAGAGTGGTATGAGGCATGGCTACAATGGGTGATCTGTTTGGTATATTGAGCAAACCACTTCAGAGACATGTTTTGTATAGATATGGCCCTATAGCGGCTCGTCTGGTCTTCAACCTTCCTAAATGTTCCCACACTACCCCGCTCCTCTGCTCCCTTCACTGGCTTCCAGTAACTGCTAGAATCCACTCCAAGACACTGGTACTTGCGTACCATGCTGTGAATGGATCTGGCCCATCCTACATCCAGGACATGGTTAAACTGTACACCCCAGCACGTGCACTCCGCTCTGCATCAGCCAAACAGCTCGCTGCACCCGCACTGCGAGGGGGACCCATTAGTTCCCATCAGCAAAAACACGTGGGTTTGCTATCCTGGCTCCAAAATGGTGGAATGAGCTCCCCATTGAAATCAGGACAGCAGAAAGCTTGCACATCTTCCGGCGTAGACTGAAAACTCATCTCTTTGGACTCCACTTCGAGCGATAGAACTATTAACAAAGCTCTTATATACTAATAAAGGACTGGCTTATCTAAAACCAGTTGAGTAGCTTTTGAAATGTTTTAGCTCTATGAAACCTGATTTAGCCTATATGATTCTGTTTTCTTCAAGTTTGTATCTTGTTGGTCGAACGCACTTATTGTAAGTCGCTTTGGATAAAAGCGTCAGCTAAATGCAATGTAATGTATAATATATTGTACAAATGTAGCATAATAGGTGAGCTTTAATGTTGTTGTTGTTGTTGTTTATGGATTTATGTATTAATGTGAGGGTTGTGTAGAAGTAGTAGAATATAACTAATATCGCTGTATTAAATATGCAACATTTTGGAGTTTCCTTGTGGCATAGTTTTAACCCAAACGTCCCCAGTTTGATTTTGGCAGGGACCTTTGTTTCCTCTCTATGTCACTATCAAATAAAGGCTAAATGATTAAAAATATATTATTATCTTATTTTCACAAATTGAAGAAGATAAATAACTTAAAATACCAGAGGACCTAAAGCATACTCTGTTTCCTATTTTTCATTATTTACCCCATCTTAAACAGAAATCAAGAAACCCAAAACACTGAAGGGCGAAAACTAAAATACAATACATCTGCAGGGAATCTGCAGGCACTAAATGAGATTGAACTATTGAGAACATAGAAGCTGGGTTATTTCCCTCTCATATGTTCTTTCCTCATGATGAAGGTAGCATGACTCATGCAGAAACACTCAATGTACCAGGTTACAACGTGTTTAATGAATGCTTTGGAGGCCGTATTTGACGCCTCCACACACCAAACACATCTGAAGCAAAGGTCAAAGCCTGTACTTGACATGTCAGAGTGTCAGTGTGTGTTGGAGTTTAACACTCGACTGTAATTACGCCTTTAAAAGAACTCTGTCTTTTTCCTTAAAAAGCATTTATTTTACGTAATCACAAAGGCAAGTTGTTGAGCAAAAAGAGGTGTTATTAAACAAGAGACAAGCTGAAGTTAATGGACACATTTAAAGAGCGTTAATTACACCCTGGAAGAAAATGTGACATAGTTATTTACAGAATGTTAGCTGTAACAATATCCTTATAATCCTAATTAAGTCCATTAAAATATCAAATTAAAATAATAAAATAGAATTAATTAAAAGTAGGCACTGCAGATTAAAAAAAATGTACAGTATGTATGTATCTTTCTTTTTTAGTTATGTATTTATTCAGGTAACAAAATATTTCAAAATTGAGGATTAAAATTATAATCATGCCAGTAAAACCCAGGAACATATACTTGCATATTTTCTAATAAGTTTATTGTTTTCTGTAGTTGTTCAACTCACTCCAGTCTCAACTCTTCCTAGGTCCACGTTAGGGAACAAACTAATAATACAAAATGTTTGGTGAAATGTTTCTTTAGGATCATTTTATACAAATCAGATTTGTTGTTTCTCTTCTGCCTGCAGATGTGTTTCCTGGGGATGGTGATGCGTTTGAGCCGCTCAGTCCAGCGGGAGATCACAGCGTTGGTGGCAAACACTGGTCCTCTCTGAAGAGTTCAGCTCCTCCTCATCTTTTCTCCAGCGAGGACGACCGAGAGAGAACCAAGTCCCTCCCAGCCTTCGGTTCGAATAAACTCAGTCTTTCCAGCACACAAATCCTCTTTAAAACTCTGTATGGTTGTCTATGAAGCCACAATCACCACTCTGTATATTAACACATTTCAATAAAAAATCAAGGAACTATTGAGAACCTTTCATTGGTTTAAAAAGGTTGCTTTCAGGGCCTGCTTTCATTGTTGGTAGCTAAAGAATACTTATGAACAACAGTAGACTTTAGCCACAAAATGATTTTTTGTATGCAATGAATATCCCGGTGTTATCATTAATCCTTATAAAAAAAATTACTAGTTGATTTATATTTGGTATTAATAATCTGAATCTGCAAAGTAGCTACTAACGAAGGCTAAAGATAAATGTTGTTCTGTAAAAAAATACACCTGCCTACAAAATATAGTGGAGTAAAAGTATTAAAGTAGCATGATGTAAAAATGTGTTTAATTACAAGTACCTAAAATATTTAGTTAAAGGGGCCCTATTGTGCTTCATGGGGTTTTCCCTTTCCTGTAGTTCCTATGTTTACTATTGTAACATAATAACATCACTATGTACTGTAAAACTCGCACTTCTATTGGCTAGCGCACCACCACCTTGTACGTGATAGGCTAAGGGACGGGGAATCTCGAAGGGGGTTGACCAATCAAATTAGCTGGCCAGCTAACCAATCAGAGCAGACTGGGCTCTGGTTTCAGACACAGGGTGAAAAGAGGTGCTGCAACACAGGCAATATGAGAAAAATAGAGAGCTTTTTGAACATTAAAGCATGGAGACGTGTCAGAGACACTAAATACTGATATACACCTGACAATGAGCAGAATAGGGCCTCTTTAAGTACAGTACATGAGTAAGTGTGATTAGTTACAGTGGAGGAAATGAATATTTGATCCCTTGTAGATTTTGTAAGTTTGCCCTCTTACAAAGAAATAGCAGTCAAAAAAAATAACAGTCCGTAATTGTAATGGTAGGTTTATATTAACAGTGAGAGTAAGAATATCAACCAGAAAATCTAGAAATTGACATCATATAAAAGATAAAAATGTATTTTCATTGAACTGTGGGAAAGAAGTATTTGATGCCCTTGCAGAACATGTGTTAGTACTTGGTGGAGAAACCCTTGTTGGACAGACAGAGGTCAGACGCTTCTTGTAGTTGGTCTCCAGGTTTGTGCACATCTCAGGAAGGATTTTGGTCCGCTCCTCTCTGAAGATCCTTCCCAAATCCTTAAGGTTTTGAGGCTGATGCTTGGCATCTCGAAGCTTCAACTCCCTCCACAGATCTTCTATGGGATTAATGTCCAGAGACCGGCTACTCTCCATCACATAAATGTGCTTCTTCTTTAGCCACTCCTTTGTTGCCTTGGCCGTATGTTAATGTTTATTGTCCGGCTGGAAGACCCATCCATGACCCATTTTCAGTGTCCTGGGTGAGGGAAGGAGGCTATCGGCCAAGATGTTCACGGTACTTGGCCCCGTACATCCTCACCTCGATGCAGGGAAGTCGTCCTGTCCCCTTAGCAGAGAAACACCCACAGAGCATAATGTTTCCACCTCCATGCTAGACAGCTTTTTGGTCTTGTCCATGGTGGAAAGGTTGAAATCTAATTTATTGATTCTGTGGACAGGTGTCTTTTATACAGGTAATAAAGTTGATATTATACGACTTATGCAACCGGTCTGTTGGAGCCAGAATTATTGTTGGTTGCAAGGGGATCAAATACTTATTTCCCACAGTTAAATGCAAATCAATTGTTATCTTTTATATTTATATCATACAATTTCTGGATTTTCTTTTTGATATTGTTACTCTCACTGTTAAAATAAACCCACCATTAAAATTAAAGACTGTTCATTTCTTTGTAAGTGTGTGAACTTACACAATCGGCAAGGGATCAAATATTTATTTCCTCCACTGTATGTGAATTTAAATTTAAATTCAAGCAGTGATTGTGTAGTTAGGAATGTGTGTTTTATTTAAATAGCAGTCTAATGAAAGTATTTGTTTTGTTTACCCTTTGAGGAATTTGCCTGAATGCATCAACAAACTGTTTTGCCTTCTCCATTGGCATATTGGACACCATTGATCCCAGGGTGAAGACGATAAATCCGTCATCTCCTGATCCATCCACAAACTCCTGCAAGTCCTGTAGGAAGGTTAAAAAGACACAACAATTAGTTTGAAAGATAAAACAGGGTAGGGTGCATGGATGGTCAAATGGACAATGACCAAAGTTCACAAACTTGTTATTGTTGAGTGCAGTCATTACAATTTGTTTACTAACATATTAAATAAGTTTAAAAAACAACAGAAATGTAAGTCACAAAGGTTACTGAATGGTTACACCCAACTGCAAATAAAAAAATAATAAAGGAAAATATTTGTATTTCTTTAAGTCATTGACACAGATATCCAAATAAGATTTAAAGCGTAATCTATTCTCTAATCTAAAAAGCTTCCAGAGTTACTTATTTTTGGCTAAAATGTTAGCAAAATACCCATTTGCAGATTAGGCATGCACAGAGCACTTTGGTAATACTTGTATAGGTTCTTCACTATGAGTGACCCCTTTTTAATGAATTGTTTATATATAAAACTGTTGGCAAGTCTTTTTTCTATTTTATGGTATAGATTTAATTAAATCAATTTTTTAGGGCTTTGCTTCAGTCTGACTCAACACCAGTATGCATTTTGCCTGGAGTGATTCCAGATTTGACGGATGCTTGTTTACACGGCGATACATTATTTGAATACTCACCGCAGGCAGAGGTGACTTTGTCTTTACACAATTGATACCGCCAATAAAAACCATGTTCGGCAAGAGCGGTCTAGGCCACTCAAAAGTAAAGTCGTATTTGAGAAGCCAGATTGCACCATTACTG